AAAATTCGATCATAAGATTTAAGTTTCCCTCCGCTGCTTGTGTGAAAAAAGTTATCTGTTACAGAACACCGTTTTTTTTTTTAAGTAAAGAGCAGAGTTACCTAGATCGCGCGCTCATCGTAAAACGCTGGTCGTTCGCAGCTGAGAAAGGTACAAAGGGTAAACCAAGCTTCACGCTAGCGCTGTACCTACCACTCTATTTCAAATCGGCCCTTTGAAGCACGCAAAACAGCTGCTCTCGTTATATTTTCCGTTACAAGAATAATAATTTTTTTCTCTGTGAAAGGAAATAATTTCTTTATTTTGTTTCTCTCCTCAAGTTACCGAGAATTTTCTCCATCTTTTACTCCATATCGTAATCTTGCCAGTTTTCCTATATTTGCGTGGCTATACACGAGAAAGAATTGAAAAGATGCAAGGTTTTTCATGCTGTTTAAACGAGCTACTTTGTCTTTCATTCAAGCGTTGCTATCCTGTGGAAACAACAAAGGGAAAGTCACAAAATTCATAATTCAACATTTCTTCTCAGTATGTTGTCTACTTTTGTTTTTAGACTTCTTCTATGTGTAATTTTAATTAAATGGGAGCCCTGTTTGACAGCGAGCGAAGGCGTTTTCAACTGGTGTTTAACGCAACGGAAATTCGACAATGAATTTTGCCATAAATTTCTTTAGCCTGGCGAAATTTGTTCGTTAAAGAGGGGCGTCTGGCATGAGAATTCATCATTATTTCTGGATTGTACTGTGATTTTCGCATGATACCTTCAGCGAGGTGTGCGCAATGAAAAGATCCTCACAATAAATGTTGCAGTAACTCCCAATTAAAAATCACTTTTCGTTTTGTTCGAAAATTCGTAAAATTTTCTTAGCAGAATTTTGTAGTAATCAGCATAGCACAGTTTTGGTTCAGAAAATAAATATAAAATGATATTGGGCGCTCTAGGTATGGAATTTTTCTTCGAGTTGAATAAGAGAGGGGAAGTTCCATATCTACAAGCAACCATATATTATTTTGTTTATTATGTAAACACTAGAGACCTTTACTGAAGAAGCGGGGGCCCGAAAGGCAGGTGAAGTGTCAGTAGCTGACTGGCGATGTCGCGGTTTTGCACGTGTGCAGTTACGGTTGTTCACAGAGCTGAAAATCTCGTAAAACACCGCAATTTATATTATGAACTCTGTTAAAGCCTTCTTGGTTTTTTCCCTCTTGCAAGCACCAAATAATTGAAAACTATCGGGAAAGTTTGCTCTGTCAGATCATGGGAATAAAAGTATGAAGTTTTTTTTTTACGAAAGGGCATTCTCCTTTTGGTACTGGTAAAGTCGAGCCTACATTAAATAAGTGGTCTCCCAAAGGGAATATGGCGATAACTGCATTATACACGTTCCAAAGAAAAGAAGTATCCCATAACTGACCATTTATTGTCCATCTTTTCGCTCATTGATTTCAGGAGATGAATATGGATCAAATATTACTTGAAAGATTATTCCAATTGTTATTTGAATGGTCCCGCTTTAAATAATCGTTTCATACAGGTGGGTGACAATAAAAATAGGCCGTTGGGACTCAGCAAAAGGTAACTGCTCAATAGAACTGACCGCTTGATACTGTAATTCATTTTCTTCTTTTTCGTTGTCTTGGTAACTTTTGTAGGGCTATATATCATTCCTCGTTCTTAAACATAACTGGAGGCGAGTTGAATAAATTGAAGAACCTGTCATTCATGTAAGTGTATATTATTTGCCTTTATTTTATTTTATTTTATTTTATTTTATTTTTTTTTATTTTTTTTTTCATCATTAGCGGAGAGGTAAATATTCACCGCTAGCCACCAACACTAAGGTGAATAGTTTTTGTAGTGTATGCTGAAACAGTGAGATAATGTTGCACAGAAAGATGATTGTAAATCTTTTATTCCTGCAACGATTACAACATTGTCAGCGCAAATCCCGTACGCCTTGCCCGGAGGTGAATAGAAATATTTGGAGTTTGAGTAGCCAATCAGAGCGCTCTTTCATCGCTATCTACTGTTTTAGTGTATACTAGCGTGAATTGGCCAATATAAAGAGTTTTCTTAAGCTGACGTTTCCAGCGTTAACCTTTCGTCAGAGCGGTAAGAGGAATATTGGGTTGTGATTTATATAGAGAAAAAATGGAGGTCCGCTATCGATAGGGAAATGGTAACGTGAAAAAACATCATTATCGTTATCAACATCATTATCATAATCATTAATCAATAGCATTATCAAAACCATTATAATATCAGTATCGTTATCAACATCAATATGGTTATCCTCATCGTTATCGTTATCGTTATCGTTACCGTTATCGTCATCAGTAACGTTACCTTTATCACTTTCACTATCACTATTACTTATCATAACCAGTACAATCTCAATATCGTTATCAACATCAACATGGTTATCATCATCGTTACCGTTATCGTTATCGTTACCGTTAACGTTATTATTAACGTTATCGTTATCGTCATCGTTACCATTATTGTTACCGTTATCGTTATCGTTATTGTTACCGTTATCGTTATCAGTACCGTTATCTTTATCGTTATCACTTTCATTATCACTATCAGTATAATTATCAACATTTGATCGTTGAAAATTCAAACTGGAACTTAACCTGCAATGCAGGCGTCTTATAAGGACAAGTTCACGTCGAGAAGCTTGCGAACCTTTATTCAACCAGCCATGTTTCATTTAGAGTCAGAGTCGACAGTGGAAGGCCGGAGGAGGGGGCGGGGAAGGGCAAAAAAAATATTCGTTGCCCCACACATCCCCTCTCCCCTTTTTTGACCGTCGCTTACCCCATTGGTACAAATTTGGTTCTCTCCTCAGCCTACCGCTACTGTAAAAAATCCAACATGACAGCTGTAATTTTCACCGAGATAATACCGAACACTCGCCCGCCAAAACTATCCGTGGTCTCCAGGCTAACTAGGACTAAAAATGTTATCCTTTTAATTCTTAGACGCCTGAGCAACAACGTTATAACGAAGATACAAGCTGGGGCCTTTGATGGCCTCAAAGATCTCTTTGAATTGTGAGTATAAAATTCCTTTGTTGACACATGCATTTATATTAAACAACCACGTCCTTTTCGCTATTGAATCTAAGGAGAAAAGTCTCAGACGGGTTTTTTTTTCTTCTAATATTTAATGATTTGTTTCTCAGAAACCTGGATCACAACAAACTGGAGACCTTTCCTGTTTTCAAAAACAGGTCACCGTTAAAGAGGCTGTAAGTAAAGATATCTGTCACCAAAAGAAACTCTACGCTACAAGGGTTTATATTTATACGTGAACAATGGCTGAACATCAGCAAATTCGCATCTAAACTGACATATCGACTTTTCATAGTAGCTTTATGGACAAACAAGTTTGTCTCCTCTTCTGTAACAACGGCAAAGCTATGGAGAAAGACTTTCACTGAATTGGTGGCACGATTTGAAAGTTGGCAAATAGCAATGGTGAAACGACACCAGATATTCCCAAGTTTGACCAGGAGCAAAATTGGTCACAGGAATTATTTTAACTGATTGCGCGTGAGCGAAAACATTTTATGGATTCTAGTATCTTTGAATAATAACACTTTTTTGTGCTGCACTAAATTACGGAAATCCGTAGCTTTCTATCCTCACCAACGCAGCACTACAATTTCTTGTAGTTTTTTTTTTTTATTCGTGTTCAGCTATTGCGTGGATTTGCTATCCGTTCAATCCATCACACCAATCTCTGACCATTGTATTGTTCCAAATGTTTTCCAGATATCTCAACCACAATAGCATCGAAACATTGTCGCGAGTGTCTCTAAAAAATCTACCGGAGCTGGAACGGTTGTAAGTACAGAGTCTGTACACCTCTTCCATTGACATTGCACTGCTTCTGTATCCGTGTAAAATTAGCCTTTCTGGCCGCAGAAACATTTTGAAATTAATTCCAAAATCTTTTCGTTCGGATTTATGGCCCAAGCGTGAAGCACGCGCGCCATAAATCGGAGCGGATAAAAACCAAGTTAGTAGTCCAGTGGTCAGTGCGCTGGACTCTGGTTCGATTGGCCTGGGTTCAAGTACTGGCTGGGGCATGACGTTGTGTCCTTAAGCAAGAGGCTTCACTCACATTGCTTCGTCTTCTCGGATAAGACGTAAAGCCGTAGGTCCCGTCTCTTGCAGGGCCAGGGGCAGGAGACGTAAATTTCCCATGCACCAGATTACTGTGTAGTGGATGTCCTCCCCGGGGTGGAATGGGTGGGAAGGTGAGATCGCTACATGGACTGAAGCGGCTGCCAGAGGCGCCTGATAAAAATGCTGACGTCCGATCTCAACCTTACGATACTGTTAAGCGCGAATGAACATATCCACATAGTAGTCTGCGCTAGATAAATGTAAAAATGTAAATGCAAATGTAATGTAGAATATTCATTATATCTTTGGGTTCAAATATAGAGGTGGAAGATTTCCATAAGGCAATTTCCGAATTACGTTTGGCCTCTTTTTCAAAACGAGGCCGGTGCTCAACCATTCTTTTGAAAATGAGTTTAATTTGCATGTGAATGAAAACTTATAATCATATGAAAGGATGAGCACCAGGACTCGTTTGAAAATGAGGCCAAGGGTAATTCGGAAATGGGCTATTCAAACTGATTTTTGAATTTAGCAGGCCGCACAGTGCATTATGGTCCGCTAATTTGACCAATCGTAGTACACGTTCTAACTGAAAGATATAGTAAGAGGTAAATTATCATTCCCGGTATTTTAAGAAGAGGTCTGTACGTCATCTTCTATCCCACCAACTGAGTCAATCTCAGTTTCGGCATCACTAAGCAACTAGCGTTATCGCTAGTCTCTTCAGATGGGTTGCTAGTTCACAGGAAATTCTTCCCAAGAGTGCTATTAATTTAGCGGTATCCAATTTTATTAAAAACTGGATCATTGGATAATGCAATTCAAGACTTTTTATTGGCTTAGGCATTATGGTTTATGAGCCAATAGACCATAATCTAATATCTGTACATTGTAACATCCGGTTTCTTCTTACAAAACAAAGTTGAGAAGATTTGTCTAATATCTTGGGGGCGTTTTATTTAATGAAAGAATTATTCCACTCGCGTTTGTTGGATGTGAGGTGATTATAGCCAACTCGGCGCTACGTGCCTCGTTGGCTATCTGTCATCTCATATCCAACGCGCGCTCGTGGAATAATTGTTAAGTATACTCATGGATGGAGGTAGAGACACTGTGGGAGCAAAATGTCTTTTCTAAGATCATGACACTATGATTCCACGACAAAGAGTGATCTCACCCCTTTTTTTAAAGAAAAAAAACGATATGTGGTCATCCGTTGGAAAATGATCGCTTTTGTTAACCATTTGTATTTGCAGAGAATTAGACGAGTCAAGCATTACAGAAATACCTGCTTTTATGTTCAGTAACAACAAAAAGCTCTGGAAGTTGTAAGTAGTTTTTCTCGTTTATTCTCCGTTAGTTACTCGCTATCATTGTTGTAGTTCTTGGTGCTTTCCTTGCGGCTTTTGACGGAAGGTTGCAAAGCTTATAAGTAGTTACTATCGTACTATAGAAACCGGAGGATTGCTTGGGCCACGCATGGCACGAAGAAAGGTACCTTAAACCAAATTTCACATTTTGTTTTGGATTAGGATCCGATTAGTCGATGCGTTAGCCTGTAAACCAATCACAAAACTTTCAATGCAACAGAAGAAGAACTAAACAAAGCGGCAGCCGAACCGGGACTTTTTCAAAGTCATACAATTTAGTTTAACAACACATTTGTCTGGCACGAATCCTGCGTTCTCAGGACAGGCTTATTAAGGGAAAAAGCCACAAAGAAAACTAACTTCAGCTAAATTAATGCTGTTTATATTTTCATGTTAGGTCTATACAGAACTCATCTTTGGAAAAAATTGATGATAATGCATTTACAGGTTCAAACCTCCAGGAACTGTAAGTATCCAACTTAATGAGGTCAACACTTATTGACAGCCCAATTCTGAAGTTATGCACTTACCGAGGAACATTCTGATACGCTAGCACTATCCATTCCCTGTGTAATCTATACAAGCAACTGAAACGCCTTGGAAAACTTTCATGATCAAATTCAGAGTTGATAACAAATAGTTTTCGTAAACAACAGTTAAACCCAGCTCGGAGCTGAAAATTTCGCAGGATCATATCCTAAAAGCAATAAATAAAAACTGTATTATAAATACAAATAATAATACAGCATTAAAAACCGAGTTTCCAGATGGGATTTGAACCCACGACCCTCCGTGATCTAGNGGCATGATTATTATTTTTCTAATATTGGTGGGCATGATTATTATTTTTCTAATATTGGTGGGCATGATTATTATTTTTCTAATATTGGTGGGCATGATTATTATTTTTCTAATATTGGTGGGCATGATTATTATTTTTCTAATATTGGTGGGCATGATTATTATTTTTCTAATATTGGTGGGCATGATTATTATTTTTCTAATATTGGTGGGCATGATTATTATTTTTCTAATATTGGTGGGCATGATTATTATTTTTCTAATATTGGTGGGCATGATTATTATTTTTCTAATATTGGTGGGCATGATTATTATTTTTCTAATATTGGTGGGCATGATTATTATTTTTCTAATATTGGTGGGCATGATTATTATTTTTCTAATATTGGTGGGCATGATTATTATTTTTCTAATATCGGTGGGCATGATTATTATTTTTCTAATATTGGTGGGCATGATTATTATTTTTCTAATATTGGTGGGCATGATTATTATTTTTCTAATATTGGTGGGCATGATTATTATTTTTCTAATATTGGTGGGCATGATTATTATTTTTCTAATATTGGTGGGCATGATTATTATTTTTCTAATATTGGTGGGCATGATTATTATTTTTCTAATATTGGTGGGCATGATTATTATTTTTCTAATATTGGTGGGCATGATTATTATTTTTCTAATATTGGTGGGCATGATTATTATTTTTCTTATGATTGCTGGCATGATCATTATTGTTCTAATAATGGCGGGCATGATTCTTACTGTTCTTTTCTGTTCTGCACGCAGATAAACCTTCTTGACCTCTCTTTTCAGTTGTTTTTAAACATGTTGTCGAGGCCAGAAAAGGGAAATTTCCGTGAATATAAACGAAAAGCAACTAGGCTCACAATTTACGACAGAAGTTTATGGAAAAAGACACGTTAATTCTTTTCATCACCTTTCCAGGTTCTTACAAGGTACAAAAATCACATCGCTACCAGCAACGGGACTTGATCAATTAAAAAAATTACACCTGGAGGGGGTTGAAGATTTCTGGTCCATTCCAGCTGGTCTGAAGAGTATCACAGAGGTGTATCTGAGTCAATACAACTCTTTTTTGTGCTGCGCCTTCCATCTGGGTACATACCAACGAAATGTGGCTCGACAAAAGGGCGACCAGTGGGGGACCTCCTCATCTAGGCATTCCACATCAGCTGTTTACAAAACCACAGCAACGACAAATACTGGTGAATCCTCCACTTTAACGCCTGTTACTTCAGAATCTTTTAGAACTACAACATACACGCCAACGCAGAGCTCGAGCCAACACCATAACTCATCGACCACTCCTTTTAACCCATGGGGAAGGAGAAAACGTCGTGGCTGGGGATGGGGGACAGATCCCCCCACGGCTAACGATACAAATGTTAGTTATACCCCAGGGGTAACTACATCTGGTTCTAACGATGGGGATTCGTATACACTCCCTGGTGGTTTTATCTCCGGAACAGCTCCTCATCCTTCTACAATCCCCCATGAAAATACACCAGACAGCAGTATTCCATTTGTCACAGAACCACCCTTTTTAAACGTGACTTGCTTGCCCGAAAGAGACGCATACCACCCATGTGAAGACATAATGGGAGCAAAATGGCTGACTGTGATGTCCTTGATGGTGGGAGGCGTGGCTCTGGTGGCAAATCTTGTCGTCGTTGTTGTCATGCTATCGAGTGACCGCCGTTTAAACGTTCACCGTTTTCTAATGAGCAACTTGGCCTTTGCGGACTTTTGTTTGGGTTTATACATCTTTCTTCTCGTATGCGTTTCGCTGAACACTTCAGGTGATTATTACAATCATGTCAGGGCCTGGCAGCTCGGCGCTGGTTGTCAGATCGCAGGTTTTCTTGCCGTGTTCTCCACAGAGCTGTCGGTATACACCTTAACAGTCATCACAATCGAACGATACTTCGCCATCGTGTACGCCATGGAAGTGAATACTCGACTTTCACTCCGTAAAGCGGTAAAAGTTATGATTGCAGGATGGCTTCTTGCTCTCCTCCTCGCCATTCTCCCCATTGTTGGCGTAAATGACTATAGTACCGTGGCAATTTGCTTGCCCTTTGATTCCCACACGAAAGGAGCCTTGGCCTACGTGAGTATCATATTGGTACTAAATTTTGGGACTTTCTTGATCATCGCAGGATTGTACGGAAAAATGTTTCTAGTCGTTGTAGGACCCGGCCCAGTTGATGGGGCCCCACAGAGGAATGATGCAAAAGTTGCGAAGCGGATGGCTTTACTTGTTTTTACCGACTTTGTCTGTTGGACTCCCATTGCATTGCTCGGCCTTTTAGCGGCTTTTGGCTCACCTCTCATCGGAGTGGAAGAATCAAAGTTTCTCCTTGTGTTCTTCTTTCCACTCAACAGCTTATGCAATCCATTTTTGTACGCCTTCTTCACCAAAGCGTTCAAGCGAGAGTTCTTTGCACTTCTGAGTCGCTTTGGTTTCTGCCACACGCGCGCTCTGCATTACAAAGGAACACTATCGTCGCTTATCTACTCCCGGTCACGCACTAAGCGCTCCACAATAGCTGAGGATGACACAAGATCGAAGAGAATCTCACAAGTATCTGCTACGTCAGGCAATGAGATCAAACCAGGGATTGGTTTCCTTAACGGCAATTGCAATGTTTACCAAAACGGCCATCCCCAGGGTGGCTCATCGGAGTGTATTCCCATGAAAGGTGTCCGCAACCCAGGCTTTGGCGATGTATCACCAGAAAACCCTGACAACGATGATGTCTTTTTCAACCCAAGGGCTGGAGCAACAAAAACGCCTGAATTGTCTCCGAAATCTCCCTCGTGCAGATTGCACGCCGAGATGGAATCCCCTGATGGGTCAAATCAAAGCACACCCCAAATTTCACGAGCTCCAAGTGTCGGCAGTTTTCATGCAATTGAGGGGCAGCTTACGGAGAAAAGAACCAAAAAACAGTCTGTATCCTTCAGGGATCTCCCGAAAATAGACACACAAAGCTCAACTGAAACACTGCCACTGCACTCAAGGTCATCGGTGGTTTTTTAAAATGAAATTCATTGGTTGTTCCTCCTGGACCTGTCCACTCTTATGTAACCTGCCTGGTGCTGTTCAAGAAATAGGAGGAGTTGCGCTCAGCTCTGTTGTCGTGCAATCGAATGGATCCCCCTTACGGAAACTCACTTTGGTGAAATACAGCGATAAGGTTAGAGAAAATATACTTCTTCGTTCTCGTTGAGCTTTTATTCAAACGGAGTGGGATATCTTCCAGGAATCATCACAAAATTAAATTTGATGAAGAAGAAAAGTCAAACTGACAGACATTTTGCCATCCAAGATTATGTTGTAGCATACTTGAGAAAGTTGACCGAGCTGTTCAGTTCCCAACCATTTTGAGGAATACGTGATCGCAGTTTTAAATCTCGAGTAAACATTTGACGAATTATTTGTAGAAAAATATCAAAGATATATTAATCGAAGTTAGTCTCTAATATATTGACAACTTTTGTTGGATTACGGATGACAGTAGCTTGTTTACAGCATTAAAGACCTCTCCAGAACTGGCGCCCGAAATTTAGGTTCACTATTCAGGAAAAATATATATACTCATAAAAAAGAGCTTAGTTGAAATGGTATGTACTTGCAAGTGAAAGTTATAGAAGACATATGGAAGCTCCTTTTTCAAGAAGATCCACCCACGTTATATTCAGATTGTTTCACAAACAAATGATGTCGCTAGGCCATTACTTCCAATTCAAGTTGTATTTTCTCGGCTGCACTGAACATTTTGTTCCATAAAAGTATTTAGGGCTACGATACCAATGATGCTTACATGGTGTTGATACCCAATTTTATTTTTATCTTTTTAGCAGCCATTTCTTGAATAGGATAGTTTATAGAACATATACATTAATATAAAAACATCACTTTTTAACTTTTGAAATTTTGTTGATTTCACGTGGAGTATGAGCAGTCTCACTGGCTGAAACGCTTTTGCCGGGTTCCTATGTTTTCCAGACCCTCACAGACATATCGGTAGATGGCATCACGTGTCTGATATGAGACGAAAGACCTCGACGCAATAGGGGAATCCTTGTTTACAATATTTGCCTCATTAGCATAAGCAATTCAGTTTCTGATGGAGCTAAAAATAAATCAGTTCTGAATATCGAAAGATCAAAGTACGATTAACTCGGCCAATAAATACGAGCCTGATCCATTGAATACTCTTTGTGCAACACGGGTTTAAAAACTCAAAATTTTACATGGAATGTATGAGCTCATTAGCGCTTTCGCCACCCAGAAATTTTGCAGTTTTTGATGGACTATATCTCCTTGAATATTACACCCAAAGAGCTAAAAATTTCACCATGTACTAAGGTCTTCTAGCTCCTTAGCTGCCTGAAGTCAATTTGTATCTAACATGGTTCCTTCTTTACGCAAAGCCGTATGCAAATGAGCAAAAATGTCAATAATGACGTCAGCATGAATCCGCCTATAAAAACGGTTTGGAACCAAGCAATGGCTTGCCATAAAAAAAAAAAAAAAAGAAGTCGTGCACATTCCTCACTCTACCCTTCTTGAGTCTGCTCGTGGTCTCATGACTAAATAATAATAATAATAATAATAAGATACAACTCACATTGAGGCAGGAGTATAGCGATGACGTTAAATGATATTTTTCTCCTGTGAGGGAAGAAAATCCTAAACTTTGCTTACACTTTATAATAAATACAGTAAGGACAAGGACGAGAAGTTCCAGGTCACGAGTCAGATTTATCGCATATAATGTAGTGTTCTATGTTCTTTAGAGGGAAGTATTTCCCAACTCAGGGCCCAGTTGTTCTAAGGCCAATAACCCAGGGTTAAAGTTTAATCCAGGTTTCTTCGTTTCTCTATTCAAACGCCTTTTTGGGTAATTTTCCCATATACTCATTAGAGCATCCAATCATCAAATTGTAGAAAAAAATAATTAAACTGAATTTTCTTCCATAGCTTTCAAATCTGAAATCAAATTTCACACCAAACCTGGGTTATCTCGAATCAGCCTTGAACAAACCGGCCCAGAAGTGATTAACATGTAACTTCTCCCTTTAGTAACCATACGTTATCCAGCAAAAAGGTAATGAGAATACTCAAACTTATCAGGTCAGTAGAAGTTGTTATCTTGATCTAATATCAAATTCGTATAACTAATTTACAAGGAAATGTGTAGTAACTAGAGGGGAGAATTTTAAACAATCAGATCTTGGAGATAAAAACGTCAAAAGAATATATATTGAACTCTTTGGTCGTAAAATTGATTTGACAGGCGAACCTGGGTCTTTTAGTACTTGAAGCATACAGTACACCCACTGGTGATAAAAAATAAGGAATATCAATCTCGGACTTAAAACATCATCCACGGCTAAGAGCGACAAAAAATAATTGAAATAAAACGCCATTCGCCTAAACGGTGAGAAATCTGGGCACAAGCAGTTGATTGAAATTTGTATAAGGTTTACATCGTTTAATATTTACTGAATACAGACTGGTAGAAAAATCATATTTGTAAAGGGACTATCCTCGTAAAGACGCCTTGAAGGCTCAGCAGCGCCCGCAGTACAGGTGTATCAGGGTCAACGAGCGCTCAATATTTCTTCGTAATTTTTTTTTGCCCCCATCTAAGATTTTAAAAGGTACTGAGGGTAAGGGTGAGAGGAAATTTTCTACCGACGATGTGGACGTTAGGTGAGAGGAAAGAAAGGAGGTTTACGAGGAAAGAAGAATTATCTGAGAACGCCCCCAACCCTTTCCGTGTACAGAATAAAGAATGGCAGCTTACAGAACGATCACGCACTCGATTAAACACTTTGCTCTTCTTTTTGAAGAGTATACGTTCCAAGATTTCACCCGTTTTCGCTTAACCCAGGTCCTAAGACAAACCGCGAGAATCGCGGTAATTTTATTTCAAACTTCAACGTCCAATACAAAATGCAAGAGGCTTTCATAAAACTGCCATCACTTCTTTTCCAAACAATATCCGTGGAAACACCGGGTAACTTGTAAAATGTTTTTGCCTTCTCCGCAAAATTAATTTTGCGATTATTTCTGATAGAATTAACAGCGTTCCCTCTTAGATGGAATAAACAATTGAGGTGTGTGAGTTTTCCTTTTCGCTCCTTTGAAAATTCTCGACACCCTGCATTCTTGATTAGTTTCTTGGGCGTGCAAACAAAACTCCGTGTTGGATATGTGACGTATAAGGCAACTATTGGCTGGAGTTGTTAATCGATATTCATCACAAATTTTAAAATTTTCAGCAAACCACGCTGTCCCAACTGTTGGAGACGTTGCATTTTGGAAGAAAGAAGATAGATTAACGTTAACTGTATAGAAGAGCAACGGAAAGCAATCTCACGCCACTCTGGCAGAAGGTGAGCAAATCCTTTGGATGATATTACCTCAAACTTCTTCTAAAAGGCTACGCGATTCGCAAAATCTTCGTCAAACGAGTCAACACGTGTCAGTTGTGTGTTCAGGCAGCTCTTCAAATTGAATTTTGACTCACTGAGAATGTCGGCCTCTGCAGAAGCAAAACCTATGGCTGTACTGATATAACTTCTTTATCATAAAATGGTCGGATGCTGGAAGAAAATTTTTTGTGTTCTATTCGAGAGGGCATTTGGTACTTTTGCACACTTCTCTTCCAAATCCTTCTCCTAAGTATTTCATGTATAGATTAAAAACATTAAGCGCTCCCTAAACACGTTGACATTTTAACAGGATGGAAGGTTGAAGAATCTGACCGGCAGGAGACAATGGACTCGCCGATTGAAATGAGGACACCTTCGCAAAGATAAGAACTTTAAAATATTTTGTTAAACAGTAGCAAAAATGGTGGCTGACAAGATAGCTGGATTTTAGAAAAATGCTTCACTCTTCACGAGTCGTCCAGTGTTATTCATCTTGGACTCGGCAGTGGATAGAATACTTGTTAAGCAAGAGAATATCAGATGATATTCTCTTTTCGGTAAGCGAGCAACTCTAGAATACCCGTCCACCTTATTTACATGTGTCGGGAGACTTTGAAGAATGAGGCATAACACAATACTTAGACGCTATTCTTATTTAATGACATGTAAATGAGTGGCCGGGTATTCTGAAGTTTAGCCCAGCGATTTGTTTACACTTGGCCCCCATTTTTGGATTAATTTGTTGTGATATGGATTGTTATGCAGACACTATGCGATCTTATGATTTATTCATTTATTGAATTCCACTGCTAGCTCAAACTCGGAATGATTCACCACAGAAACGTTAGGTCACTAGACTGAGCAATAATAATTAGAGACCAATTTAGACGAATTCCTGGAGAAAATTGAGACCAGAATTGTTGATTTTGTTGGCCGATCGCTCATTTTTTGTTTGCCTAACAGTCCGTTTCACAGTCGTATCTTAGTTGATGTCGCTAAAGATGCAAATTTTAAAGGTGGCACTGCAACAAAAGATATCAAATAAAGAACAATTTAAATTCCCCAACTTCCATCGTGCTGTAAAAAGAATCAATTTTCCTTTAATGTTTGATCTACAAACCACCACGTCGACTAGAACAGCAAGAATTTTTTTACTTTGGCACCAATTATTTACCAAGAATGGCTTTGGAAAGCTGGCTTACTGAATTAAAGCAGGCTATTGTTGGGAGATTCATGCACTTCTATAATACTACAAACGACCTTAACACGGGGCCAACGAAACATCAAAAGAAAGACAACTTTATCGACGGATCGGAGCTATCCTGTCACAGCTAGACGAACTTCACAGTTAATGACTCGAGGAAAAAAACCGCTTTAAGGATTCTAAGAAAGAAGTAAGGGGATTCATATTTTATTCTTGTTATGAATTGCATCAAAAAGTTACGTTTGTTAAACTTAGAGACATTTCAAGTCAAAATTGAGACAAAAAATTACAGTGCCATCTTAAAATTTGCATCTACTGCTTTGCCCCATCAACTGAGTTTCAGTTTGCAAGAGAACACTGGCTTCAGTGTAAGACCATCTTTCAAAATTATTCGTGTAATTTCGCTATTTGTAGTTTCCTCTTGTTTCTAGCTGACATTTACGCCAGTGTCCTCTTGCTGTCTTAGCTATATCTTAAATTCAAATGCCTGGTTACGAGTGCTTCAAAAAACCCCGACTAAAATGAATTGTGTCGTTACATAAACCAGTTCAAATGGATTCTTGTCACTCAAGAAGAAAGAAAACCTTCTTACAATTGGAAGTATTTTATTGGTCGATAGATCTTTTTCCCAAATCGTGCGATGTTAGTTGGCTGTTCAGACTAGGAGAAATTTTAACATACTAGCTCAATGTATTATTCCTAAAATTTATCAGGTCGATTTGAAATCTTGGATTTTTACCTTTCGGGGTCGAAATTGTATTTAGTAGAGTTTAAAGATACTTAATTTTCTCAAAAACCGTATGAACCATTGTCAAGAGTTCGTTGCATTTTCTTAATAATTGTTCAAACTAAAATTATGAGGCAGTTTCCTTTTAAAACAGGCGTTTAATCTTGATTCGTAACTAATTTTGGTTTTTTACTTGAGATGTTATTTGGCAGAAGAGTATGAATTTCTATCATGGATGCAATTTAGCGCGGAATTGAAAATTCTTTGGAATATTTTCTTAATTCGCTAAGAGTTCGCTTATTAATGAAGACGAATGAGGAATTTTCAAGATTAAAAATGGAAAAAAAATTTAGGAAGAAAGCCGTGAATTTTGCGAAACGTGCAAATCCAAAATGCAAATGATTTAATTCAAACAAATTATATTGCTTCTTTTTGTCCGCTAAAACTCGGATCGCCTTAGTTGTGATATTGAAACTGTTATTCTTTGAAGTGCTGGTTTATGCAAATAACTTTATTTACCCCTTGCACCAGGCATTTGGTTTTAAAATTAAAAGTAG